GAATGCCACTTTATGATCAAAATATAGATGTTACTTCACTTGTTTGCCATTTTATGAGCATTGTTCATCAATATAACACAATATTTCATGCCTAGTAACTAAGCACAGTCAACATGTTCATTTGTTGATACTTCTGAAAGATACAAGGTACAACCTAAATAAAAATGAAAATCAATAGGATGCCTGAGTGGCTCAGTCAGTTAAGCGTCTATCTTCAGCTCAAGTCATGATCCTGGGGTCCTGGAATTGGATCTTTTATCAAGTGGAGAGTCTATTTTTCCCTCTCCACTTACCCCCTGCTCATGATCTCTCTCTCACTCTCTCTCTCTCTCTCTCAAACAAATAAATAAAATCATTATTAAAAAAAGAAAATAGTACTGATTTGGGTAGGATCCTAGTGTTAAATACCATTCTAGTTTAGATATTATTGATAGTACTTGAAATTTAATTTATTCTTAATGAATATGGAGAAAAAGGGCCTGTTTAATACATTATTACTTGTGATATACATTAATGCATCGCATAATGATATACATTAATGTTGTATAATGTGACGATTGATTAATATTTTATTTATGATTCAGTAAGACCAACAGGCACATTTTTTAAAAATAAGATTTTATTTATTTATCTGGCAGAGAGAGATCACAAGTAGGCAGAGAGAGGGGGGAAGCAGGCTCCCCACCGAGCAGAGAGCCCGATGTGGGACTCAATGCCAGCACCCTGAGATCATGACCTGAGCCAAAGGCAGATGGTTTAACCCACTGAGCCATCCAGGTGCCCCTAACAGGCATATTTTTTTTTATCAGAAATATAACTTTATATTTATTAAGTATGTTTTCACATTAGAAATCTGAGCCATGCCATTTCATTAGTTGATATCTGTGAATAGGATGAAAGGTACAACTTAAATAAAAATTTAAAAATAAGTTTAAATTTAAAAATGAACAAATTTGGGACACCCGAATGACTCAGTTGGTTAAGCATCTGACTCTTGATTTTGGCTCAGATCATGATCTTAGGGGGTCGTGGGATGGAGCCCTATGCTGGGCTCCCTCCCCACGGGGGAGTCTGCTTCTCTACTTCTCTACTTCTCTCTCTCCCTCTGCTTCTTCTCTCACTGGCTCTCTTTCTCTCAAATAAATAAATCTTAAACAAACAAACTAGTAAAAATGAGTTAAAAAAAAAAAAGTAAATATAGGGGTGCCTGGGTGGCTCATTTGGTAAAGCATCTGCCTTCAGCCTGGGTCATGATCCCAGGGTTCTGGGATTTAGCCCCGACTGAGTTGATTGAGTCAGGCTCCCTGTTTGGTGAGGAGTCTGCTTCTCCTTCTCTTTCTCCTTCTCCCCACTTCTCTCTTTATCTCTTCTTCTCTTTATCTCACTCCCTGTCTCAAATAAATAAATAAAGTATTTTTAAAAAGTAAATATAATAGTATCTGGTTAGGATTGTATTATTCACCAAAGGCAATTTCATAGGCATACAAATTATTCTTTTCAGATTTACCTATCAGGTGGTGGTAATATGATACAATACAAATGTCGGTATGCTAGTTTTTTCACTCTTTCATCAATCTTCCTGATAATTAAAGAATTAATGTATATCACATACATTATTAGAAAATGTCAACAAAAATTAAGCCAAAGGACAAATTAAATTCTGAATGGATTTCATGAAAGTAAAAGAAAATAGGATTGGTAACCCATTAAACTTTACTCATTACCCTTTGAGAGTAAATACTTTTAGAAGTTTCAGATTATTTTTTTAATTGGTTAGGCATTGAGGAATAAAGTTAAAAACTCTTCACATAAGTTATCTTTTTCTGATAAATGAATTTGGAGAAGGCTATTTTGTGAATAGTATAAATTCTACTTTTACATTTAGATAATAAACAGTGTCTTTTTTGGTATTATTTTACCTTTTATTTAAATGTTGAAATGTTTCATTAAAAAAAAACTGGGATTGTTAAACATTGTTGCAGCTTGCCTTGAGAATAGTGTTGGTTAGTATACAATTTTACGGTCATACCTGTTTTTTATTTGATTTACACCAACCCTTTTGAGACTGGCAGAAAGTTGTAGCCTCTGAATTCCATCTTAACAATATCTGAAAGACTGACAGAGGCTATTTGATTTGCCCAAGGTAACCAAATGGGTAAGTAGTAGAGTTGGAACTCTAAAGCAGATATTCTGATTTTTAACTGCTTTTTAAATTCATTGGTATTGAATCCTTCTTACCACATTGTAATTAATCTTCTCAGAATAGAAGACACTATATGGTAACTTTTGCTTGGCAGGGAGGTGAGGAGAAATGTATGAACTCAACAAACTTTAAGTGTCCTTCTGATTTTCAGATTTGTTTTTGCAAACTTTTGGAAACATTTTTTTAGATTTGTTTTTGCAAAATTTTGGAAGCATTTTTATTTTTAAAGGATTTTGTTTTTACTTGGGAAAAGAACTAATATTTTGTACAGTGCTTTAATATTCATTGAGTGGTTTCTCTTTTGTGATCTCATTTAAAGATTTTACCAGCCTTGAGCAGTAGGCCTTAACTTTTATGACAATATCCTCTACAGAAAAGAAAAAGAAAGAAAAGACTAAGTAATTTCTCTAGGGTCACATCATTAGGTAGTTTGTGTAGCTAGGACTCAGATTCAAATCTTCTAAATTCAAGTTTTTATAAAATAATACTGGCTCTTAAGAAGAATATAAAAGTGAGATTTTATTCTTATTTTCTCTAAAATCATATCATTAGAAAATTTAGGATTCCTTGGAACTTTCTAAATATTTCTACAACATGTTCTTAGTTCTTTCATCATGATTTCATATATTTATCTATTAAGTCCAATGTTTCATATGTGGGGGAGAAAGAATAATTTTCCCATTCCCTTCTAGGTTCTTGGCTGAGGAACCCCCACTCCTCCCATAATAAAAAGGTAGATTAATGGGAGAAAAACAAGAAGTTTAGTAATATGTATATCTTTTGTGTACACATGGGAGATACCCAGAAAAACTGTGTTAACTCTCACATTAAAAGCCATTTCCTGCTAAACATAAAATAGATGTTTGTTGAGGGGAACTAGTTATGGGAGGTTATTAGGGAAAGCACAGTAAACAAGTTATGGGGTTGTTACTCAGATTTAAGTTTCTGCCTTCTCCCTTGATAAGAGTTTGTAGAGATTTAGGGGCACCTGGGTGGCTCAGTGGGTTAAGCCTCTGCCTTCAGCTCAGGTCATGATCTCTGGATCCTGGGATCGAGCCCCACATCAGGCTCTTTGCTCGGCGGAGAGCCTGCTTCCCTCTCTCTCTCTGCCTGCCTCTCTGCCTACTTGTGATCTCTCTCTGTCAAATAAATAAATAAAATTAAAAAAAAAAAAAGAGTTTCTAGAGATTTAGAGTCCATTATCATTTTCTGGTACAAAGAGGGAGACTCCTTACAAATGGAGTTTTCTTTATAGATTTAAATGTTTCTTACAAAAAAGTAACTTCTATTTCATTTTCAGAGGTTTAACAACATCTAATCTTTCTTAGAAGTAATCAGCTGAAAATAATCCTCATGTCAAGGAGGGTATATTTTGGAGTGGCATATTCTCTCCTTTACAAGTTTAGATCACACTCTGGGCATTCATTATGTTTTACGATTTATTGTAATGTTTGTATCATGTTTATTTTGTGTGTTTATGGGGAGGTAGCTATTAGAGTTCTAACTTCTATTCAGACTTCCTCCAATTTTTCTTGTTACTTTACGTTTAAAGTCTGGCTTCATGAAATATTTAAATTTAGCTCTTTGTGTTACATTCGTTCTAAGTACCAGTGATTTCTTACATATGAGAAAGAACTTTAGAATTTTTTGCAACTGTATGTGTATATACACACACATGCACGCGTACATATATATGTATTTGTATATCTGTCTGGGATTTCATTTAGTGAGGTAATAGAATTTGCTTCATAAATGCTTCCATTTTTAAAGGATTTTAAAATGTTTTTGATTGGTTGATACAAAATTCAATATAATGTGTGCCATAAATTAATGTCTTCTTGATGTTGAGTATTGTAGTTCAGAATTTTTACTTTGAAAACTTGGTGGGGGATTGAGTACAAAGTGCACATAGGTAGGGTATATTGAGTATGAATTGATACTGGATCAGTGGTGGAACTTGTCTAATGAATGAATTTCCTTGAAAATTTTTCTTAAGGTTTGAACAGAGAGGCGAAGAAGTTCAGAAGTATGAATAGCACATATTCAAAATATGTTGTGTGTCATGGCTGAAAATTTATTAAACTCCCCACCCCCTTTTCTACTGTGCTGTCTGCTTTCTATTTTATATGCCTCTTCAATTCCTTATTCCAACTTTCTATAGGAATGATGTATAAATTACCTAAATGTCTCTTAGTAGTATGATCTCTGTGTGTGTGTATGTGTGTGTATGTATAAAGAGTTTGATTATCCTCCGCTTTTCCTTCATGCTAAATCTCAGGTATGCGCTATTTGAGAGAACCTCCTTTAAAAAAAATAGGAAGAGAAATAAAAAAAAAATGTTTTACTTATTTCATTCAGTTATGGAATTAGGTAAGTTTTGCCCAGATGAGTTCCATTAAGTGCTTTCATTGTTTATTCAGTGTTCTGTGAGTATGTATTGTGGTGGTAATTTTCCAGGTAAGTAAAATAGCCAAATATTAAGTAGGCTAACTCTTAGACCAAATTTTGTATTTCTTACTCTAAATTTCAGATTTAAGTTTCTGCCTTCTCCCTTGATAAGAGTTTGTAGAGATTTAGGGGCACCTGGGTGGCTCAGTGGGTTAAGCCTCTGCCTTCAGCTCAGGTCATGATCTCTGGATCCTGGGATCGAGCCCCACATCGGGGGGGCATCCAGTATACTTTCATCCAGTATACTTTCATAAGCATCCAGTATACTTTCATAATTATCTGTTCAATGAAATCTGTGTGTTTAGTATATTTTCTTTTCTGTTCTTTTTTTTTTTTTTTTCCCTTCCAGGGATATAGTTCTCAAACTACTTCAGTATGAGGCATCAACAAATGTAGCAGACAACAAAGGTTATTTTCCCATTCACCTGGCTGCCTGGAAAGGAGATGTAGAAATTGTGAAGATTCTTATTCATCATGGACCCTCACATTCCAGAGTCAATGAACAGGTGCACTTATCATATATTTGCTCTTGCTATAGTTTTGCGAGGTTTGCAAAGGCAAGGCCACATTGAAGAATTTATTATTTCTGTCATTACCCTGCCAAAGACTTTTTCACAGCTAAATTTCCTAAAGGAGAAATAGAAACATTCTTTGGCACTTCTATTAGTTACATAGGTAGTAAGTTGGGCATTTATAAAGATACTTGTTAACAAGAGAATACTACATAAAGGAAGTAACTGATACTTTTGCCTAACTTATATAAGCATCCATCTTATAGTTTTTGAATATTTGAAGATAGAACAGAATTCACATTTGTAATATGAATTAGAGCTTCTCTTAATAAAATTTTAAAGCAATGGTAGTGGATTCATTTGTACAATGTTTTCCATTTACTTAACACTTCTACAGTAAATATAGTTTTGTGAATCAGAATTCAAAATACAGTATATGCAATTGGTAGTCACATATTAAGTTAAAAATTTCCTGTTTGTGTGCCCAGAGTATGTTGAGTAAAACACAGCAGCAATATACTGACAGATAAAGTAAAAATATTTTCAGGTGCATAATATCCATATTACACATAGCTGACATATTAAAAAAGGAATGCCATTCTCATCATTCTAAATAAATAAGACCACAGATTTCTGAAAGTAAAATACAGGCCCCTAATACAGTATGGTAACAAACATCTTGAGCTCTGCATGCCCCCTACTGTTTCCATTTTGTAAAACTATATTTGAAAACCAGCATGTAGTCCAACAATTGAATTATAACCATGGCATTAAGCTGCAGGTTGGCAGTTGTCCAATATCAATGTAAGTGGTTACTCTAGGGCAAGAACATCTGATGAAGTGCAATTAGCATACTGTTCAAATGAATATAGACTTTGCCTGCCTTTTCAGACTTTGACTGAAATTCAGACTGAAGGATAAAAAGTAACACTGGCACTAGCTATAAACATAAAAGGGAAGAAAAATACATTTCTTCCCCTGGAAAAATGCAGTTGTAGAAATAAAGTTCCTGTAAGTAGGAAAAATGTTGTATTAATTGAAAGTGTCTTATTAATAATTATCACAAAATTTGTATGTTTATAGGTTATAAAATGAAGTGTATTTTTATACAAATACATTCATAAATTCAATCTTTAAAAAATGACAGATATGCCTGTCTTTATCAGCATATCATGCTAAAGGGAAATTTATGGGAATGCTGTTTTGTTTTTCAGAAAAATCAAAAGTTAAAAGATCGTTTGTGAGATGAGCCATCTGGTGGTTATTCTTAAAACTGTCTGAATGCCCCAAAGTGAACCTGAAATAATAAGATGGAAAAACAATCCAAGGTTAAACAAGGGGATGTTAGTTTTTACAAGCAAAATACTTCCTAAATGACATGAAGATAAGAAAAAACACTTAGAATTCATTTGTATTTGGAAGTTGCTTTGTCTTGTGGTTTCTACTGGAAGTAAATTGAAAATGTCTTGAGATTTTTAATACCATGCTTTCAGTATTTGTTTATTGTATATGTGGTACACCTTGAGTGCTGACATATTTGTGTCATCTAGTGCCATTTCTCCTAAGTTTCTGATGTGGGAATTTTATTTTTGTAAAAGTAACTTTTCATTTAAGCTTTTTTTCTCCCCTCTGAATGGGGTAGAAATGTACTAGTTACTTATAAACCTTTATGTATTTAAGCAACAGAGGGGAGAAATGAAAATAATAGTTAAGATATATTGAAACATGGTGCTTGACATAGCCAAGCGCCATGCTAAGCACTTTTACCTATAATATGTTATTTAATTAATTCTCAACAACCCTTGAAGTGATATTATCCCCTCCCATTTTATAGATGAGAAATTAGGCTCAGTAGGGCTAAGTAACTCATCTAAGGTCACACATTACTAAGTAACTAAAGCTCAGACTTGGACTCTAATTCCAAAGCCCTCCACAATAGCATATTGGTATTGTCATCATAAATCCTGTCACTTATGGATTGTTTTCTATATGCCAGGCAGTGTGCAAAGTACTTCATCTATTATCTTAGAAAGCTGATGAAGTAGGGATTAATTATTTTTCCTGTTTTATATGTGGGAAGCTACCTTAAAGAGATTAAATAAGTTGCTCATGATATCACATCTACTAAGAAATGTACTCAGTATTTGAATCCAGGTTTTTCTAATGCAAAGCTCAAGCTCTTAACCAATCTTACTCCATGTTTTGATAGTAAAACTATGTGTAATTGTCAGGGCTTAGTTCTGATTTCTGAAAGCCATCTTTGGTTTCTAACACAGCTTTCTTTCAAAATAATTCTGTCTTATATTTTAATATTCAAAGTTTACAAAGCATTTCCTTCATGCTATTTCTTTTTAAAAATATTTTATTTATTTGACAGAGAGAGAGAGATCACAAGTAGGCATAGAGGCAGGCAAAGAGAGAGGGAGAAACAGGCTCCCTGCTGAGCAGAGAGCCCGATGCAGGGCTCAATCCCAGGACCCTGAGATTGTGACCTGAGCCAAAGGCAGAGGCTTAACCCACTGAGCCACCTAGGTGTCCCCATGCTATTTCTTTTTGATTTATAAGTTATCCTCTATGGTTTGTAGGGAGGGTAATATTCACATTTTGCAGATAAGATAAGAGAGATCAAGTGGTTTACTCTTGCTAATAAGTGTGTGTCAGCACTTCAAAATAGGTCACCATTCTATACTGCCCTAGAATTAGTGGTCAATTTAGCACAATGTAATTTTGAAAGTAAAGTTGACCTTGCACTGATTGTGGTTTTTATAATTCCTACATCCTTCCTCTCTATGTCAACTGATTTATTATTTCCTTTCTTTGGTGTATATATATATTTGCATTTTATGCTTCTCTCTATATTCATCTCCTCCCCCTTTACCTTTTCTTCCCCCCCCCCTTTTTTTTTTAAACATTAGGGCAAAAACAAGAGTAGCCCTATCTCATAAGTATATTCCCTTACCATTTACCAAAACTCAAACCTAACAAATGTTAGTTTCCATTAGTTTTGCTTTGAAGCAAGATCTTTTGGTAAATAGCTTTTGTCCACCAGTTTTGTTATGCTCCCCATTGTCTAGAAATAGAATTGTCCTAATTTTTTGGAGAGCACCCATTTGGTAAAAAAAGAGGTAATTCAGAATTGCTCAAGAATGTTCTTTGTAGACATACTCGCAATTATTAATCAATGCTTCTTCACAGTCTGTATTTCAAATGAGATTCTTTAAGGTCACTTGTTAAAGGTACCACAGTTGTCATTTTTCTGATGTGACAGTGTAAGTATGTGTTGATTGTGGATAAACTCTGAGTATTTTCTCCTAAGTCTGGCATGATTGAAATAATTTTTCTTGAGATCTGAACAATCTAATTGGTGTTAATAGAGAAAGTTTCAATTTTACACTTATAATTTCCTATGCTAAGGCCTATGCAAATGTAGAAATGTGTTTGAGGAATTGTTTTGTAATTGGTTCTTCTTTTTCTCAAAGAGATGCTGTATTTTGAAAGTTGAATTTTTTTCCAACCATAGGAAAATTTGATTTGGTCAGAAGGCATATTTCTATATCATATTTTTATGGTATAGGATAATAGATTGATTTTCTTATCAGGCTTATAATATGTAGATAAGAAAAATCAAGGAATGTAGACCTGTGTAGACTTGTATGTAGTCAGTCTCTATGAGGAAGTAAACTATAGCAACACATTCTAACTAAAAACAAGAACGACTCCTTCCAAAATGATGGAAAAACAGTGCCTTCAGCTGGATTCCTCATCTATCAGATCTTAATTTCTTGTTGATTGTCTCCAGTGGGTAGGTACTTTTTATGGGTTTGTCCTTTAATACTTTGATTTGGAAGATAAAGTAATAAGAAGCATTTCATAGTGCTCATTAAAAAAAAATTTTTTTTTTGCCACTCCTCTCTAAGTTTTTAAATCCTCCCTCTGCTCTTGACTGTCTCCTCTCAACTTATCTGCATTCTTCAGCCAGAGCAAGTCTGAATTACTTTTGGGGACATTAAGATTTGCTTGGGTTTGAACCCTACTTGTCCTTTTATGTGGTCAGAGCAGCTAAGTAGCTAGTTCTGTTACAACTCAGTTGGTGTTCTTTTGGGCAAAATCTAGAAATTCTGCTTTCAGAACACTAATTTCCTTTTCTTCTCTGGCAATGTAGCAATACTTGGCAGGCATTGTGGTGTAGGGGAAATAACAATATATATAGTTTTTAGACATTCAGCAAATGACAGTAGTAATAGTAGTAATAGTTGTTATCATGGAAGATGGTATTAAGAGCAGTGACTTTAGTGGGGTGCCTGGGTGGCTCAGTCAGTTAAGTGTCTGCCTTCAGCTTAGGTCATGATACCGAACTTCCAGACTTCAGGATAGAGCCCTGCGTTGGGCTCCCTGCTTAGGTGAGAGTCTGCTTCTCCCTTTCCCCCTGCCCTTCCCCCTGCTCCTTTATTCTCTTGCAGACTCTCTCTCTCAAATAAATAAATAACATCTTAAAAAAAAGAAGAGCAGTGACTTTGGGTTTAGGCTACCTACGTTCAGATCCTGGCCCCTAGACTAAACGGCTGTTTAGTTTTTTGTTTGAAGGCTAGTTATTTAACTACTCAGTGCCTCAGTTCCTCATCTGTAAAGTAGCAATAATGATAACAATAGTATCTATCTCAGAGTAAAGATTAGAGCACACAAAAATGGACTGTACCTGTGCCTGGTACATAGTGTTAGCTCTGATGATGGCAGCCTCTTTCTCTTCAGAACCCTTATTCAGGATCATTGCATTTTTGTTGCTAAAATTTCTTGTTTACATTTCTCCTGACTGATCCTTCTACTTCCTGACATAGTTATACGCAGTCTACCTATACGACCTGCCCAAATAGACTGAAGGGTCCATCTGCCTTGTGACGGGGTTTAGTTTTCTCTGTTTTAACATTAAAAAAATTTTTAACTCCAGTATAGTTAACATACAGTGTTATATTTGTTTCAGGTGTACAATATAGTAATTCAGCAACTCCATATATTACTCAGGGTTAATCAAGATAAGTGTACTCTTATTCCCCATCACCTACTTCACCCAGCCCCCCACCCAGTCCCCTCTGGGAACTGTCTGTGTTCTCTATAGTTAAGAGTCTGTTTCTTGGTTTGTCTTCTTCTTTGTTCATTTGTTTTGTTTCTTAAATTCCACATATGTGTGAAATCATATGGTGTTTATCTTTCTCTATCTTATTTCACTTAGCATTATACTCTCTAGATCCATCCAAGTAGTTTTTATCTTGCTAAATTTTAAGAAAATCTTGATTTTCAACTGAAACCCTTATTAGGTGCATATGTAACACTGTGATACTCCTTGTAACTTGTCTGGCAGTGGGTTTAAGTCTGCCTCTTAATCCATAATTATATTTCAAAAAGATGTGATTTAATCTTAGGGCCAGTATGTCTTCATTCTCTTTGCGGAAGAAGCAATAATTTGTGCTTAGATGGAAAATGAAATGAAACTTAATTTGGAAAATCTTTCTGTGAACCTTTCATTATCAAGAATTTACCATCTCAACTGTCTTTTGGAAAGCCAGTCTGTTCAAAGTGGGTTATAATTGTTATTAATCTCTCTCATTAACAAATGTCATCAAGGCATGATGCACAGTTCAGATAACACTGACCATCTGGGCCCAGCAGGGCCACTGACTAAGATGCCTAAATCATTTATCAGTCCCGGAAATTGGAATATATGATGCAGGAGAAAATTTGATTTTTCCTATTGAAATGATTAAAAAATGTGATATTTTGGTATAATAAATGATAGATGCTTTAACAAATATTCTATTAGACATACTTATTAAAATAAATAAATCTTAAACTTACATTTTCAAAGTATCTCTGGTTTTAAATTACTGCTTAGATTTTGATAATTAATTTCTGAAAACTTGAATCTTATGTTTTATCTTAATAGAACAATGAAAATGAAACTGCCCTGCACTGTGCAGCTCAATACGGACACTCAGAAGTAGTTGCTGTTCTCCTCGAAGAGCTCACCGACCCTACTATCAGGAACAGTAAGCTAGAAACACCTTTGGATCTGGCCGCTCTCTATGGACGACTTAGGGTGGTCAAAATGATCATCAGTGCACACCCTAACTTAATGAGCTGCAACACTAGAAAGCACACGCCACTCCACCTCGCTGCTCGCAATGGTCACAAAGCAGTCGTCCAGGTGCTATTGGAAGCAGGGATGGATGTGAGCTGTCAAGTGAGTCTTCTTTTAGCTATGTTTTAAAAGTGGTGATTCTCTTGCTTTGCTTTGAGATACAGATGATATAACTTATATGTAGAAATCTTTCCATTTTTTAATTAAGTTGTCCACAAATATTTTTATAATTGTTAAATTTAAGACCCTGTGCCGTATACTGTTGGGAAATATGAAGAGATAATAATTCATAATTTCTAACCTTATTCTAATTTTAGGGCTTTATGTATGAAAAATTATCACCAGGAGGCTGTTGTGTGTGATATCATTAATAATTGTTCACTCAGTGTTGGACTCACTGCCTGATATACACTAGGAATCCAGTCAAAGTTAAATGAATGAAAGAATTAATCAAAATTCAGTTTAATACTTTTGAGTATGTACTTTGTGTTTAATATGTTGACACATTTAGAATCCATTTTTATTAGCCCTCCTGTGGGATTGAGAGCTACTAAGTTCCAGTTAAGAGATATGGAATCAGATTCAAAGTTAAGAAAGTTGCCTAAGGATGTATAGTTGATAAATCTAGAATATGCATTTGTACTTATTAATTAAAATCTGGGCCTCTTTACACAATAGTGTACTGTCTATACATGAGTAATGAAGGAAAAATCACTGCCTAAGGGCAATCAGGAGGAATTTTATTGGAGAGGTGTGATTTGAGTTGAACTTTGAAGGATGGATAACATTTGCAAAAGTTTCTCCACAAGGAAAGGGCAACCTACTTCTTTATTTTTAAGGGCAACTTACTTTTATTAACTGTTTCTAGTTAACTCTAATGCCAAGGTTAACTCTTTTTTTTTTTTTTTAATGACCTTTTCCTTTTATTACTGTTTTTTGTCTCCCAAGTCAGTGGCAGCATTCTTATCTTCCAGAGACCCTTTTGGTTCCTGTCAGGTTGTGTCCTTCTCCCTTGTGTATTAGAAGCTATTGCTATCTAACAAAATGTCCTGAAACTTAATGGCTTAACACAGTAACTACTTATTTAGCTCATAATTCTGTGGTTGGTGATTTAGTCTGAGCCTCACTGGGTAGTTCTGTCTTGGCTGGGTTCTCTCTCTCTCATGTGTCTGGGGTCAATTATAAGCCAGTTGAGTGCCTCTGTTGTAGAGATTGACTGTATGTTGCTGGGATAATGGGTGAGGTTGTCATGTGTCTTTCATGATCCAGTAGGCCACCCTGGACTTGTTCACATGACAGCGGTATGGTTCTGTGTGCTCGCATGTGTGCACATAAGAGATGGAGGGAAGGAGGAAGGGAACAGGATTATACAAAGTCTCTTGAGGTCTAGGCTGGGAGCAAGCATCCTGTCTTTTCTGCAGTGTTTGATTAGCCAAGAGGTCACAAAGGCAGCCTAAATTCAGGGTTAGGTAAACAGATTTTACCTCTTAATTAGAAGAGGGTGTGAATTGTTGTTTTTGTTTGTTTGTTTGTTTTAAAGATTTTATTTATTTAACAGAGAGAGAAATCACAAGTAGGCAGAGAGGCAGGCAGAGAGGGGGGAAGCAGGCTCCCCACTGAGCAGAGAGCCCAATATGTGGCTTGATCCCAGGACCCTGAGATCATGACCTGGGCTGAAGGCAGAGGCCTAACTCACTGAGCCACCCAGATGCTCCGAGGGTGTGAATTGTTAAAGGGGTGTAAATACCCAGAGGGAACATTCCAACTGTTGTTAGTGCTCAAAATTGTGGGTTTACTTTTCCTAGGAATTGTTTAGAGGTTGAATTTTGTTTCTCTTTTGTTTTCCACTGAAATTTTAAAAATCTTTGGCCTTCTCATCCTACATTTCAGGCTGGCACCCTAAAACAGACATTTCATTGGAGCTTTGTCTATATTATTTAGCTATTTGGTATTTATAAAATCTTTTCTTAGTTTTTTATTTATTCTACTTTGGCAGCCTTGAAAATAAACAAAAGAATTTTTTCTAGTCCTCATGTTAAAAAAAACCCAACTTTCCCCTCTAAAATAAGATAGATGCATGTTTACTATTGTAACTGACTCACAAAGTTACTGTCAAAGTGTGTTTAATGATAAGCTAGATGTTTATTGTCTTGTCTGAATGTTGAATTTCTGCAATCTAGATTTACTGCTTTCATAACATTTCTGGAATATTTTTAAAATATTTTATTTATTCATTTGAGAGAGAGAGTACACAAGCCATGGGAGAGGGATGAGCAGACTCCCCACGGAGCAGAGCACCTGATGCAGGCTTGATCCGAGGCCTCCAGGATCATAACCTGAACCAAAGGCAGACTGTTAACCATCTGAGCCACTCAGGTGCCCCAGATACTTCTGGAATATTTCTAAACTTGATGGCACAGATTAGTTCATAACCAAGGACTTCACTATGATTGAGATCAGTAACTCATTTCATGTCCATGGCCAAGATCTTTTAATATTTTGTGCTGATGACTTTGCAAAAAGAGAAAGAGTCTAGCTTTAATTTATATATGTATATGTTACATCTTTTTTATATAAAATACTACTCACTACATTTCATGTTTTTGAAGAATTAAAGGTAAGTAAGATCTCTGCCCAAAATTTAGTGGAGGATACAAAAACTTGGAAGAATTACTCCTGTATATGACATACTAAGATAAATAGTAGGGCAAAGTGCTAGGGAGATACCAGTGAATAAAACATAGATTGTATGAGGGAGGAATTGAAGAGACATAGAGTGATATTTGAAGAAGAGCTTGAAGATTTTTAGGACTTTGAATTTAGGTATAACTTAGCTTGCAGATGTGCATTATTTGGCTAGAGGAGTATTTTAAAATATTGAATTTGAATGCTTTTAAATGGGGTATAGAACTTCCAAGGTCCCAAATTCTCTTTCTGCCATCTTCTGTCATTGCAAGATTCATTCCTTTAGATTTTCTACTTTGCCCTAATAGCATTTGGGTTTGTTACTCATATATCAGATGAAAGGGGCAAAATATGATCAGACCACTCTGAACACTTAATGAGAAACATCAAGGATGGTACCTGAGCAGGGTGGGCAATGTTTTGTTATTTATGTTCCCTCTATGATTTCATCCTGAAGGTTTCTAAGAGGTAGAACTGACAACATACTCTAAAATATATCTCAATGAATTGAATCTTCTAGTATTTAGATAGCCTTAGTTGATGTTTTGCTTTTGTTATTATTGCTTTATTTATAGAACACGTTTTTTGTTTGTTTCATTGCCTTTTTTGGGTCAGTGTTTAATTTTATTACACCATTCAAATGAACTGTCTCAAAGTTTGCCTATCAGATTCACTACAAAGTTGTTGGGTTTGTTTGTTTGTTTTGAGATGGGGAGAGAGGGAGGGGAGGGACAGAGAGGGGAGAAGAGAGAGAATCTCAAGCAGGCTCCATGTGGAGCCTAATGCGGGGCTTCATCTCACTACTCTCAGGTCACGACTTGAGCCAAAATCAAGAGTCAGACTTTTAACCAGCTGTCACCCTGGTGCCCCCCCCTCTTGCAAATTTTTTTTAGTATTATATTTAAAGTAGAAATTTGTTGATATTCTTGCTGGGTGAGAGTGAAGAGAACCAGGACTAACCTTAAATTGTTTCAGTGGCTTTAATATTTATTTAATTGTTTTAGTTAACCAGTTGTAAATTAGCAGTACTAAAAATAATCCTATTTGGTAAATTACAGCGATACACATTTAGACTAATTACATTCAAATCATTATAAATAATTATTTAAAATTTAGAGATGACTTTAGAAGATTATCTCTTTTTTTGGTAATTGCAAATGTTTTAAAATGTGTAATTTATGTTTGTGTTTTCTGTATAAGTTTTGGTTTCTTCTTCATTTCTCTGAGCAGTTTTGAATTATAACACATATTTTAACTAGTGAGAAAAGCAATTTAATTCCCGATTAGGTGATTTCATATTATATTATTGTATAAACCCTTTAGTTTTAAAGGATTTCTTAATAAAGAGAATCCATCATATTAAGATATTAAGAAAATGAGTTTTGAGGGGAGGAGTCAAGATGGCGAAGTAGCAGGCTGAGACTACATCAGGTAGCAAGAGATCAGCTAGATAGTTTATCAATCCATTGCAAACATCTACAAATCCAACAGGAGATGGAAGAGAAGAATAGCAACAATTCTAGAAACAGAAAATCGACCACTTTCTGAAAGGTAGGACCGGCGGAGAAATGAATCCAAAGCGACCGGAAGATAGACCACGGGGTGGGGTGGGGGGCTCCCGGCAAGTGGCGGAATAACGGAGCACAAAGTCAGGACTTTTAAAAGTCTGCTCCATTGAGGGACATCACTCCAGAGGCTAAACTGGGGGGAAGCCAATGCGGGGTCAGCATGGCCCCAGGTCCCGCGGGGTCACAGAAGGATCGGGGGTGTCTGAGTGTCGCAGAGCTCACAGGTATTAGAGTGGGGAAGCTGGCTACAGAGACAGAGTCAAGAAGTGAGCTCTCAGCTTGGGGTTACCTTGAATTGGTCGCAGGCTGGGTGAGTGTGGAGCGCAGCCAGAGGCCAGGGACACAGGAGTGATTGAGCTCTAGTCTCTTGGGCACACTGAGGAGTGGGGCCCTGAGCTCTCAGCTCCTCCGGGCCAGAGATTGGGAGGCCACCATTTTCATTCCGTCCTCCGGAACTCTACGGAAAGCGTTCAGGGAACAAAAGCTCCCGAAAGCGAACCGGAGTGAATTACTTAGCCCAGCCCCTGGTAAGGGTGATGCAATTCTGCCTGGGGCAAAGACACTTGAGAATCACTATAACAGGCCCCTCCCCCAGAAGATCAACGAGAAATCCAGCCAAGACAAAGTTCATGTACCAAGGAGAACAGCAGAATCCCAGAGAAGGAGAAAGCAAAGCATGGAATTCATGGCTTTCTCCCCATGATTCCTTAGTCTTGTAGTTAATTTAATTTTTTTAATTTAATTTTTTTTCTTCTTCTAAATTTTTTTTAACTTTTACCCTTTCCTCTTTTAACGTTTTATAACCAGTTTATCTTAACAATACCTTTCATAAAAAAATTATAATAATCT